TAGTTAACCTGAAATTAGAGGAGTTTGTGGTTTAGAAGCTAATCGGAGTGATGTTTCTTGGACTTGACCATTAATGCTTGATTATTATTTTTCTTGATATCTTGGCAATTTGTTGGATAGAGCAATAGCCACTATCAAATATTGGTGTTTGTTTGATTGTTCTCATGCTTGAGGATAAGCATGGTTTAGGTGTGGGGGGAATTGATAGGTTGCAATTTTATCATTTATTTTATTGTTAATTTCCCCTACTACTTGACTCAAGGTGAATTAATTGTTAAATTCTACTCACTTTTAGTGTTTTACATTTATTTCAGGGAGTAGAACGAAAATATGATAACAAATGCCAATTTGACAGAAAAAGAGTCCAAGTCATAGAGCTTATCCGAGGGGCATAGTTGGCAAAGGAAAATTTGTTCCCATCTTGGTAATTGCTGATGAGGGCGGAAGACAGTATAAAAAGAAGAAAAAGGAACGCAGGGCTGAGCTTCTTCTTCCTCCGGAGGAGGGGGCCGCCGCACAGAAAAAAAGAAGAGGAAGCAATAGATAGGCAATTAGAATAGGAATTGCGCAGAGGAAGAGCACTGACTCTCTTCTTAGTTTTTTGTCCTTTAGCTTGGCTTTTGACTTGTCTCCTTTTTGGCTTTTAGTGGTAGTTTTCTCTTCATTCGTATGGAGCAGAAGCAAACAAACAATCACGTATTTTGTAGCTTTTCTTTCTAGTCAGTGGTCAATCGAATTAAGTTTACCCAATTTCCAATTGATGGTTGCGACTTTCTCTCCAATTTCCGGTGGATTTTGTTCATCCAATATGAGTTAATTTTCTCACTCTAGTCAAGGGACAACGGATGTTTTGGGTCGTCTAAAATTGTGAGATCGATTTAATTTTATCTTTTCTTTTTATTTATTGGTATTCGCATATTCCCTGGTTACAGTGCTTATGATTGTTTAATTAATTGATTGTCTTGGATCCGGATAATTAGTTAATTTGATAATCTATTGTCAATTGAGACGTTAAATCCGTAATTGTTTAATTGTCTCAAAATAGTGATAACTGGCATGATTGGGTTTGTGTCAGGGGAATACGCGGGCTAACCTAAAATAACCCTGGTAGTTTGTTATTTGGTTAGAATAGGGCTCCTCTAATACGTAAGTCAATTAGGGAATTAAATCTTACGGGCGTACCTAAGATTATTTCTCAATTAGAGCAGTGATTAATGGGCGTACCTTAATCATCGACACAGTAAGGAGGGGTTGACTGTCATCGCTTGTTTTGCAGTTATAACCTATTTATTAGTAAATAATTGGAATTGCTTTTGTTTCGATGATCAATTAGGTGAACCATTGCTGAAGTTATTCCTTGGCTAGATCCTTAATTATCACTCATTAGATTTTAGTAAATTGTTATTTAATTTCTAGTTGACTATTTTATTTTTATTATTTTAATTTTAGTTGAATTGTTTAAATTGTCACCCTTGATATAAAAACACCCCCTTGTCACTATGAATTTGGAAAGGAACAATTACTCTCAGTCCCTGTGGATTCGACCCTGCTTACCGCTATCTACAGAAATTAATTTTAGTTGAGCAGGTTTTTATTATTGCACAGGTTTCGACACCATGTCATAAAGTGTCGATTCTCGCGTCAAAAGCTAGTGATTTCTATGAGTATGTGGACGTATTGCGATAGGAGCTAAGTAACCGGACTCTTTCATCTGACAAATGTTGGAGTTCGCGTGAAAAGGCTCTAATGGCTAGAGACTAAGTCTTTTGCTATTCTCAAAAGAAGAAAAAAAGGAGAGAAAATAGAAAGTGTGATAATAAAAAAAAAAGTGAAGGTTGTGTCAAATGTGACGAAAGTCAGCTTGCCGTTTTATGGGTTTAATGTTGAAATTTTAGTTAATAGTTGGACTATTTGCTGAAAAATGTGAGCAACCATTCCTTTTTCTTAGATTAGTTTGCTTTAAATTAGAGGAGTTGGTGGTTGGGAAGCTAACTGGGGTGATTTTTCTTGGATCATGACCTGTGATGCTTGATATATGTTTTTCTTGGTATTTTGGCAGTGCGGTAGTTGGAGCAATAGCCATTGTCAAACTCTGGTGTTCAATTACTGTTCATATGCTTGAGGGCAAGCATGGTTTAGGTGTGGGGCGAATTGATAGGGTGCTAATTGTTAGTAATTTTATTGTTAATTTTCCTCTTTGTCCTTGCCAAATATTGCTTAATTATTAATATCTACTTATATTTGGTATTTGGACTCAATATCAGGGAGTGAGTAGAAAAGTAAACAAAAGGATGGACCTTATGGACAAAATTGCTCCACACGTGGGAGACTTCTTAAAGCTCCATCAACTTGGCCCACAAGGAGAAAAAGAAAATGATTTCCTTTTCTTTGTGCTGATGAGGAGTGCATTGTACTAGCTAGTTGACTAGCAATAGGAAATGAGAAAACAAGACATTAGGTAGCACTTGACTTTTTGTCTTATCTTTTCCTTATCATCGGAGAGACCAACTAGGGAGATAAGTAGTCATTTGTTTAGAATAGGGAACTTCGTTTTTTGGGCTCCTTCGTTTAATTTATTTTTCTTCTTTTTCCGTCTCTTGGAGGAGAACGACGGGGAACATAGCTTGTTTTTGGATGATAACTTCTGAAATTTTGCAAGGGATTTTCCCCATGTAGATGAACTAAGTTTCTCATCTAGTCGAAGGCCAACTTGAAGGCGCGGTTCCAAATATCTGTAAGATCGAATTAATTTTATTTATTTCTTTTATTCATTGGTATTTGTACGTTTCCTGATTTAATTGTTTATGCTTGTTATGTTATTTGAATGTCAAGAGCCCGGTATTCGAATTAACCTAATGATCTAATGCCAAATTAATTGATTAAATCCGTAATTGTTCAATTGATTAATGCCAGTGGCGACTAGCGTGATTGGTTTCATGTTAGGGAAACGTATGATCTAACTTAAATAAATCCTCATAGCGTGTTTGTTAGTTAGGATTGGATTTTTCTAATTCTTCATGCAATCGAGGAATTAAATCCTACGGTCGTATTTAGAGTTATTTCTTGGTTAGAGAAATAGTTAACGGTCGTACCTTGACTATCGAAAAAGTAAGGAAAGGTTGGTTGTTTATCGCTTGTATGACAACTATAACCAATTTAGTAAAGAGTAATTGAATTATCTTTGTATCGATGATCAGTTGAATGGACCGTGCCTGAAAAGTTGCACCTTTGGCTAGAGTCGTATTGGTTATTGATTAATTCTTATTAATTTTTTTTAGTTGTTTTATTAGTTAGTTAATTAGTAATTTTATATTTTCCAAAAATCTCTCATTCACTGAACTCTAGAAGAAACGAATTATCCCCAATCCCTGTGGATTCGACCCTACTCACCGCTATATACAAAATTTGTATTTTTCTTGAGTAGGTAATTATTATTGCACAAGCTCGACACCCTGTCAAGGGAGTTGAAGTTTCAATAATTCAATGATTATTATCTATTTCAAAAGATAAAAGTTCAATTAATTTGAGATCACAAGCTTGATTATTGAGATGCTAAGGAGACTATCATTGCGCGTCTCTATTTTGAACCAAGAAGCGAAATAGCTAATCTTAAAAGAAGAGGTGTGTTTCTGTTTAGTGATGATAAAATAAACTCAAGTGGGCAACTGATCCCTAATCACATTGGAGATTATTGCTAATTGACCCTTTGCTTTATTTCAATTTGATTGCGAGGAGACAAAAGCAATTTCTTATCGTTCTTGGATGGATATTATGAATGTGTTTAGATAGTAGATTATTTGGAATAATTTTTTGAAAAAGGGCATGATGGTATTCTTTTAAATATAATATATATAACATAAAAAAATAATTAAAAATATGTTAATAATATAATCAATAAATTATTTGTGACGTGTGTGAGATATATTAGTGCCCACGCAGACATTCAATCAGAGAACATGAAGGCCCTAGCAACAAAGGCAATTCAAGTGAAAATGCCAACAAGCCACAGCCCTCAAAAGTGGTTTGGAGAAATCTTATCCTTTCGGGTCCCACATATTTTGTCACAATCTCGTGATTATCATTCAGAAACGCATGACCTCCTAATTGGTGATTTTAATTGAGTCAAGCAGTTAGCAATTGTTCTTTTGTACAAAATTTTCCCTCTAGTGGTTAATCTTTTTTGTTCATTATCTTATATGTATGTATATATATATATATATATATATAAATTCTCAATAGGACGATTTCGCACTATTGAGTTTGTGGGGTTTTTTTTGGGGGGGCAACAAAATGCAATACAAAGTACCAAAATTCCATTGAGAAATCACCATTATATTTGAGTATACATGCAAAACTGATGGAAATTAAAATAATACTCCCTTCACTTCAAATTATTTGTCTCATTTCAGGATTCAAATATTTTAAAGAATAGTAAGTAACTTGACAGTGATGTTGGTGGATTTGTTTCTAAAATTATTCTCGAAAATTCAAAGTTTTAAATTTGGATTTAGTGCCAAATATTGATTAACGTGAAAATTATTGAAAGAAAGAGATTAAAAGTAAATTTGAGTTTAATAAAATAATAAATATTTTAAGACATTTAAAAAGTAAATCGGGAAGGAGTAAAAAAAATAAAACGAATAAAAGAGAACAAGATGATGAGTTAGACGTAAGCCAGTAAGAAAAAGATGAGTTTTAGCTGCAAGTTGAAGGTTCGCTATGGAGGTATGCTGCAGATGTGAGTCATGTGACAACTTGTCGGCAATATGGTGTGGCTACGAATTGTCGGCAACGTCCAGGAAGTCTTTAGAGTGGAACATTTTGGAAGTGCAAAAAGTTGTGTGGAAAAATTTCATTCCCGCATGTTTTAGCCTCCACACATTTTGCTGCCCTTGGTTGCCAAAGTTGAACCATATCCTTCCTTGTCTCATCGCAGAAAGCATCCCCGCATCACCATTGCAGAACACTTTCGTCCTAATTCCAATCCCAAGAGAGAAAAAATGGCTGATGCTGCTGTTAGTGCTACTATTCAGGTTGCATTGCAGACGGTTGTTTCTTTTGCCGCTGATCATGTTAATCTGGCTCGTGAATTCCCAGAGGAGCTGAATAAACTCGACAAATCTACTGCAAGGATCCGAGGCTTCTTGGCTGGTGCCGACGAGGACAAGCATAGCCCAGTGGTGCAAAATTGGCTCAAGGATCTGGAAGAAGAGGTTTTCAAAGCTGACAATGTGCTGGACGAGCTCAACTATGAAATTCTTCGTCGGAAGGTGAAGTATCAAGATCAAACCATGAAAAAGAATGTACTCTTCTTCTTTTCATTCTTTAATAAAATTGGTTTTCGTTGGAGGTTGGGTTCAATGATCAGGGAGATCAACACGAACCTTCAAAGGATCCATCAGGATGCCGCAGGTTTGGGACTGGCCTACAAGCTCCAAGTTGAAGAAGCATTCGCTACTATTGCTGCTGGAGCCACAACAAGCAGACAGACCGACTCTAAGATTGTTCGAAGTGATGTCCTAGGAAGAGACGAGGATGAATAAAAAATAGTTAAGAAGTTGTTGGCCGAATCTGAAAGTGATCGTATTTCAGTTATTTCCATAACTGGCCCGCCAGGATTAGGAAAAACAACTCTAGCTAAAGCCGTTTTGAACACTCCACAGTTTGATAATCATTTTGACAAAAAAATTTGGGCTTGTGTGGCTGAAAAATTAGATAGAATCGAGGTGGTCTTCAAAATGATTATAGAATCGTCAACAGGAAAAAAAGGCTGAAGTGGATAATAGGCAAGTAATAGTTAACGGAATTGAAACTGAACTTAAGGAAAAAAGATATTTGCTTGTTCTTGACGATTTGTGGAATGATCAAGAAGGATTGTTGAATGACTTTTTCACCACTTTGGAGGCACTCAAACTGAAGAAAGAGAGCTGGTGTCTTGTTACTTCTCGTCTCCAAGAAGCGGCAATTGTTCTGTCAAGACATCGGCGGATCAATTTTACTCGTCATGACCTAAGAAAGCTATACGATGATGACTGCTGGTCTATCGTGAAAAATTGGGCAACTGTAGGGGAAGAAGTGCCAAAAGAATTGGAAGCCTTAAGGAAACAAGTTTTAAGAAGATGTGACGGTCTACCTCTGGCAGCAACGTTAATAGGAGGTTTGTTATCTAAAAAGAGAAAAGAGGAGTGGCTATCTATTTTGGAGGAGAGCCTCTTGAATGGAGATCAAGGTGGGATTGAGCAAATAATTAAGGTGAGTTTTGATCATCTGTCACCTGCACCGGTTAAGAAATGTTTTGCATATTGCTCAATTTTTCACCAAGATACTAAATTGGAACAAGATCGACTAGTTGAGCTTTGGATGGCTGAAGGCTTTCTTCAACCTGATTCCCAAAATGAAAGAACGATGGAGAAAATAGGATATGAGTATTTGAGAATTTTGCTGCAAACTTCCTTATTGGAAGAAGTAAAAGAGGAGAGGAGAACATGGTATAAAATGCATGACCTTGTGCATGATTTTGCAAAATCAATTTTGAATCATAACAGCAGCAATCAGCACCGTTACCTTGCAGTATACTCATCTGGAAGAGAAACCATCAATGAAAAATCATCAGCATCACTTCGCACATTATTTCTGGAGGGTGGCATAACTGATGATATGTTATCAAAGTTCAAATACTTGCATGTCCTAAAATTGTTTGGAGCAAATGCCAAAGAGTTGCCGACCTCCATTGGCAAACTAATACATTTACACTTACTTGACATTTCAGATTCTATGTTTACAACTTTGCCAGAATCTCTTTGCAAACTTTATAGTTTGCAAACACTGAGAATTGGCAAGCTTGAAGAAGGTTTTCCAAAGGAGATGAGCAATTTGATTAGCATGAGACATCTTCACTATGATCATGCTCGTACAAGACGCGAAATCCAAATGCCATCCGGGATTGGACGATGGACTTGTCTTCAAACGTTAGAGTTCTTAAACATAGGTCGCCAAGAGGAAGGTCATGGTATCCAAGAGCTTGGAACCTTGCAAGATCTTAAAGGCTCCTTGGAGATCAGAAATCTTGAATTAGTAAATGGCAAAGATGATGTTGAACTGGCGAAGCTATCTAAAAAGCCAAATCTGCATCGGTTGGTATATGAGTGGCGCAATAGGTATCGGGGAAGTGATAATTGTGATGAAGATGTGTTGGAAGGCCTCCAACCTCACCCAAATTTAAAAGAGTTACAAATTTTGAAGTTCATGGGTGATCAGTTTCCACAATGGTTCATGAATTTGACATCACTGGTGGAGTTGAGTGTGGCGAATTGCACAAGATGCAGAAAACTCCCAGCACTAGGACAGCTGCCATTCCTCAAGTGCCTCTATCTGACTGGATTGGAAAACACAACATGCATTGGGCTTTCATTCTACAGTATAAGTGCTGAGGAGGACGGCGGATCAGGAGGTTCAGGCACTATTAGCAGACAAACATTCTTTCCAGCCCTTAAAAAACTCTCTCTTAAAAGTATGAAAAATTTGGAAGAGTGGAAGGACGCACACGAAATGATGTCAACAGCAGGTGAAGTACATGTGATGGATGTGTTTCCCATGCTTGAAAAGTTGTCTATTAGTGATTGCCCCCAGCTGACCACCATTCCAACTCCAAGTCGTTTCCCAAGTCTTGCTGTATTGGAAATCAAAAAGAATTGCCATGTTTTGCTGGCAGAAAAGGTTTTGAGCAATATAACCACACTCTTTTCCCTTGAATTAAGTGGTGGTCGTCGACCCATGGAGTCTTTAAAATTAGTGAAACCACCAGAGAGCAGCTTGCGTATTGCTGGCTGTGACAGTCTACCCACTGACATGCTTGAGCGACTCTGTCTTTTTCCAACTCTTCAGAGTGTAGAATTGATGTCTGCCTATAATATAACAACATTACGAGGAATGAGTTGCGCCGCTTGTCTTAAGAGATTGGCAGTCTATTATGGTAAGAATTTACGGGAGTTGCCAGAAGATCTTTATCAATTTCAGGCTTTAGAGTACTTGATGATATGGGGTTGCCCGAGAATTGATTCATTTGGATGTCCAAATGCTAATTCATTTGGACAGAAAAGCCTCCTTAAGTCTCTTGAGGAATTTACTGTCGATGGGCGCGATGCATTAACAAGATTACCAGTGGAGATGTTCGAGTCGTGTACGTCTCTCCGAAAGCTGATATTGTTCAATTGCCGCAGTCTGGTCTCCTTTCCCCTTGATTTGCGACGAACCCCTTCTCTCGAGAGTTTCTTGTTACAGTGCTGTCCCAAATTGATTGCTGAGATGCCCAGTGGATTTGGCTATCTTACCAGCTTAAGGAAATTGGAGATTGGTCCCTTCTCAGATGACTCTGTAATCGAATTTGATTGGGCAGGATTAACATCTTTATCAACACTCCGGCGCGTGTCTTTGCGTGGGATGCGTGACACGAAATCTCTGCCACATCAGCTTCAATGCTTGACTACCATCACATCACTGTCTCTAGATGACTTCGGAGCAATCGAAGCCTTACCAGATTGGCTTGGGAACCTTGAGTCTCTTGAAGAGCTAATTCTATCGGACTGCCGAAAGCTTGAATATTTACCCTCCGTAGATGCCATGGAACGCCTCAAATTAAGACGTCTGGAAATTGACGGTTGTCCTCTATTAAATCAAAGATGCACTCCTCAAAGTGGCTCCGAGTGGCCCAAGATCTCTAATATTCCAGAGCGTGTAATTTATTAAAAGTCATCTTTCTGAGCCATCGGGTAAGATTTCACTGCAAAATTTTGATTAATTGATTCTCATTATTGGATATCGCTGTTCTTCACCGTCTTATTCTATCCGTATTTGTCCCTCACTCTTTTTCTCTGTAAATATCTATTCCTCTACTTCTTCTGGTGAAGAATACTCTCTCTTTCAATTTTTAAGCTAATTCTTGTCATTAACAAAGTAGAGTTACGAGCAAATTGAAAGACAACAAAAATTGTGGATTTCGTCTGCTTTTCTGAACCATCAAAAGGATGAATAACAAGGTAAAATATGCTACTATTTATGAACTTGCTGACTGTTTGCCCACAAAATTCACTAACATTGCAAGCGTAAACATTCAGCTTCAATGGGGTATGTTCTTTTTTTTTTTTTGTTACTGATATTTCCAAACAACATTAAAACCAATGATATAGCAATTTGGGGAGAACATTACAATTTTTGTTTTTACCGCTGGCATTTAATAGATGGATATGTTCTTAACATTCACTGTCATCTCTTTGTAAGACTCTGAATTATGATTGCCTTAAAATTAGCTCAATGTCGATTAAGTTGAAATTGTTTGCAGAGGAACTAGGCTGCTGCTAAAACTATAAATTCTTATCATCTTTTAAAATTTTTAAAATTCAGATACTATAACTAGCTACTTTTCTGTTTTGTGAATTGGATTGATAATATTATGGCCTTGTAGGCCACAAGTGTCAGTGAAGCAGCAAACAGTGATAGCGCCGAAACATTGCGAAAGGCTCAGAAGTGTGCTTAAGGCAGAGTCAGCCTGGAACCTCTAGAGCATCTTATTGCACTTTTCGCATTCTCCAACTGCAACATCAGGTTGTGGTTTCCAATCATTTTTGAAGAAAGATGAGGAGGTATGTGGTTTGGAAATTTCTCCACCCAACTTACTAGAAGTACAAGGGAATTGGTCCAAGTTTGCAAGTATGTTTGAGACATGGAATTGTGTCTAAATGCAGGTTGGTATCTGCACTAGTAAGTGTTCTTTATGGCTTAATCAATGGAATATAACTTGATTTTTGCTCTTTAGGATTTTGAGTGATAAATTGTTGCACGAGTTACCAGACCAAACCTTTCTATGGCTCATATTTCTGCTTAATGTCATAACTGAAGCAGAACTGTGATGTAATATTGTTATTTTTTTTTTCCAGAATTTGTTTAGGAAGCAGAGATTATGCTCTTTGGACAAAGAACACCAACGTTCCCGTGTTGTTCTTATGAGAATATCAGGAGGGAGGAGTTATTTTCACTTATTAGTCAGGTTTTGAAGATGGAAGGTAGTTATCTGTGATTTTTCCCACCAGAATGCATATATTGCTCAGAATGTGGAAATGAAGGTAAAAAATGTTGACTGCATGTCTATTGGCCTGTTTCAATGGCTTTTTTTTTAATCTATTTTCTGGAAGTATTTAACAAAATAAATCAAATATTGAACCTTTTCTCCTTGTAGCATGCTGAAAACAGTGACTTGTGCCAGGCTTGTAGAAAGTAGCATGGATGGAGGAGAATTAGAAAGGAGCTATCAAGGTACAAGACAAGACTTACTTGAAAAAAATTGGATGTGCTAATACTTTAATTCCAGAGGTGACAACATTTGATGGAAAGAAGTTAGACATTGTAGACAGCATTGGCAATCATTTGGACGACATAAATGAAGCATGTGATTGCAGTGTCAGCCGTTCATTTGGATGAAAATAGTTCAAAGTTTTGGTGCTGCAATTGCAGCGGCAAGAATTTCTACATCCTTGTTCAAAGGTTCCCACCAGATCTTGCAAGGCCTTTGTAAATTGGAAAACAGGTTATACCTTTCCACTCAAGAACAAGAGAGACTCATGATACAACTGTGCTAATAGTTAGTCATTCCAGGTACTAGGCTCAGTGTTGAATTTGTTTTAGTAAAATAACGTACCCTAAGTACCTTCTTGGTTCTTAACTAACTTAATTATTTTGACGTGTCAACTTCAAGATAAATAGTCACAATCCAAAAAATTGCAGTTTGAATGATCAATAAACAGGTTTTGTTATTATAGCATTCTATCTGTTATGTTTTAGCTAAGAAAGACTAGAAAACCTAAAAATAATTTATAATTATTAAGAAACCTCTTGGAATATGTAACATTTCAGAAGACTAATGAAGGTGGGAGATCAATGATAAATGTTTCACATGAAGTTCTCCAACATGGTTTCACCTAATTAGAGGTACTCTACCACAAAGTATCTACTTGTCAGGTTAAATGAGCATGTTTCAGCATGTCCATTTAATGGAAGTTGATAAATTACTCTTAAGAATTGAAGGAAGAAGGAAACAACTTGCCAACACTGAAAAGATATTGACATCCATTACCTATTTCTTTCTACAAACGGTTATCCTTTTCTGATTTTTGTTTGGCCCAAAGATTTTAGTCTGTCCGGAGAAATCAGTCTGCTAAAAGAAGTTAATAAGAGTGTTAAGAGAATATAAGTATTCTTGTAGATAATAAATTAGTAAGGGTATTCTTGTAAATAGTTTGTTAGGTTTGTACTCCTATAAATACTAGTTGGTCACTTATAATACGGTGACTAGATGTTTTCCTCCCAAAATACCTGTTGACACGGTATCAGAGCAAAAGTCCTAGGGTTAGGGTTAAACATCTAGCAAAAATCACTGTTCACGCGCGCACTGTTCACGCGTTACTGTTTACGGCGCACTGTTCACGCCGTTACTGTTCACGTAGTTACTGTTCATGCCGTTACTGTTCACGGCGCACAGTCACGCGTTCGTCTCAAGTTTTGACCTGTTCTTTGGTTTGACGTGCTATTCACTATGGTTGAAAGGTTTGTTAATACGGTTATCACTGACCAAGTTGAATCAAGTTCTTCAGCACATGGGTCCCAGAAGACTGTTACTATATCCGAGGAAGATTATGTTAAATTCCTACAGTACCAAGCTTCAAATCATGCATCTCTTCCCTCTGCTTCTTTAGCACAAAAAGGTAATGACTCATGGATTATTGACTCCGGGGCTACTGATCATATGTCAGGTACCTCTAAAAATTTTTCTAATTTTCAAGAGTCTACTTCCTTTCCTCATGTTACTTTAGCTGATGGATCTACCACTAAAGTCAAAGGACTAGGCACTGTAGAAGTTAACCCATCTCTTCCGCTGTCTTCTGTTCTTTACGTACCCACTTTGCCCTTTAATCTAATGTCTGTTAGTAAACTCACTAAATCTCTACAGTGTTCAGTTATTTTTTCTCCTGATTTTGTTGTCATTCAGGATTTGAAAACAAAGAGGACGATTGGTGGAGGGCATGAGCATAATGGTCTTTACTTTCTCAACTTCAATGGTCCGATTGCATGTCCTGCTATTGTTTCTCCTCTTGAAATTCACTGTCGTTTGGGTCATCCGTCTTTACAAAATTTAAAAAAGCTGGTTCCTACTTTGAGTCATTTGTCTTCGTTAGAATGTGAGTCTTGTCAGTTAGGAAAGTATCATCGTGTTTCTTTTGCTCCTAGAGTCAATAAACGGGTTTCTGAACCCTTTATGTTAGTTCATTCTGATGTTTGGGGTCCTAGTCGAGTCGTTTCCAAGTTAGGTTTTAAATATTTTGTAATCTTTGTTGATGATTTTTCAAGAGTTACATGGCTTTATTTAATGAAAGATCGTTCAGAATTATATTCCATTTTTTGTGCATTTATTACAGAAATAAAGAATCAATTTGGTGTGCCTGTACGTATACTTCGCAGTGATAATGCGAAAGAATATTTTTCCACTCCTTTTAATACCTTCATGACTAAGTCCGGTATTATTCATCAATCCTCTTGTCCTCACACTCCACAACAGAATGGAGTTGCTGAAAGAAAAATTGGACACTTAATCGAGGTTGCTCGGACACTTATGTTGCACATGAATGTGCCCAAACAATTTTGGAGTGATGCAGTTCTAACTGCGTGTTATTTAATTAATCGCATGCCATCTAATATTCTTGGAGGCCAATTACCTCACTCCGTTCTTTTTCCTCATGAATCTGTGTTTAAATTACCTCCTCGTATTTTTGGGTGTGTGTGTTTTGTTCATCAGCTTGCTCCCGGGATGGATAAATTAGATTCTCGTGCCATTAAATGTATTTTCTTAGGATACGCACGAGCGCAAAAGGGGTATAGATGTTACAGTCCAGTTTTAAATCGTTTTTTCACTTGTGCTGATGTTATTTTCTTTGAATCCACTCCTTATTTTATGAAACAAGGTATGTCTTGTGAGTTAGACCAGTATCCCTCTTTTTCCTCTCCTGTTTTACCAGTCTCTTCCCCTTTATTACCTGAGTTATCTAGTCCACCAGATTCCATAACTCGATTATCTCATCCTCATCTTCAAGTTTACTCTCGTCGTTCCATGGTTGAGAGAGTTCCTAATATGCCACGCACTTTACCAATTAACTCTCAATCTTCAAATCCAGGTATGACGCCCTCCTCTGAGTTAGATCTTCCTATTGCTTTACGCAAAGGTAAGAGACATTGTACTTCCCATCCTATTTCTAATTTTATTTCTTATTCTCGTCTCTCTATGTCATATTTTTCTTTTGTTGCTTCCCTTGATTCTATCTCTATTCCTAAGTCTATTACCTATGCTCTTAATCATCCTGGTTGGAGATTAGCTATGCAAGAAGAGATGTCTGCTTTGGAACAAAATGGTACTTGGGATCTTGTCCCTCGTCCTTCAGGTAAGCCTGTTGTTGGTTGTAAATGGGTGTACACTATAAAAGTGCAGCCTAATGGTTCTATTGATAGATTGAAAGCTCGTCTGGTAGCTAGAGGATTTACTCAGGTGTATGGAGTAGACTACTTAGAAACATTTTCTCCTGTTGCAAAGATTACCTCTGTTCGTCTTCTTATCTCTTTGGCAGCAACTTATAATTGGCCATTGCATCAGTTGGATGTGAAAAATGCATTTCTGCATGGAGATTTGGAAGAAGAGGTATATATAGAACAACCTCCTGGATTTGTTGTTCAGGGGGAGAATCCGCGGTTGGTTTGTCGTTTGAAAAAATCCTTATATGGATTGAAACAGTCTCCGAGGGCTTGGTTTGGCCGGTTTAGTAGTGTTGTCATGGAGTTCGGTCTGACAAGATGTGGAGTAGATCACTCTGTATTTTATCGACATTCTAATGCTGGTAAAATTTTATTAGTTGTTTATGTGGATGACATTGTGATTATAGGTGATGATGTTGTGGGGATCCAGAAACTTAAATCCAATCTGCAGGCAAACTTTCAGACAAAGGATTTAGGTCATCTACAGTATTTTCTGGGTATTGAGGTAGCTCGGTCTAAATATGGGATTTATTTATGTCAAAAAAAATATGTATTCGATATGTTGAGTGAAGTTGGGATGTTAGGTTGCCGACCTGTGGATACTCCTATGGATCCCAATGTGAAATTAGCAGGAGATCAAGGTGCATTACTTGATGATCCTAAGCAATATCGAAGACTTGTGGGTAAATTAAATTATCTCACTGTAACGAGACCTGACATTTCGTTTGCAGTGAGTGTTGTGAGTCAATTTCTTGATACCCCTCGTACTAGTCATTGGGATGCTATTATACGGATTCTCAGGTATTTTAAGAGTGCTCCTGGAAAAGGGTTGCTGTATCAAAATCATGGACACACTGATATTGAAGGATATAGTGATGCAGATTGGGGTGGTTCTGCCTCAGATCGAAGATCGACTACAGGATATTGTGTGTTTATTGGTGGTAATTTAGTGTCGTGGAAGAGTAAGAAGCAAACAGTTGTATCCAGATCAAGTGCAGAATCTGAATACCGCGCTATGGCTCACACTGTGTGTGAGTTGGTTTGGTTGAAGAGCATGTTACTAGAACTTGGGTTTGAGCATAAACAGCCTATGAATTTAGTGTGTGATAATCAGGCGGCTGTTCATATTGCATCTAATCCAGTGTTTCATGAAAGGACAAAACATATTGAAGTCGATTGTCATTTCATTCGAGAGAAATTGCTTGACGGGGTCATCAAGACATCTCATGTACCGTCTGTAGATCAATTGGCTGATGTGTTTACCAAGAGTTTAGGGGGCTCTAGGGTGAAATACATTTGTAACAAGTTGAGTGCTTATGATATATATGCTCCAACTTGAGGGGGAGTGTTAAGAGAATATAAGTATTCTTGTAGATAATAAATTAGTAAGGGTATTCTTGTAAATAGTTTGTTAGGTTTGTACTCCTATAAATACTAGTTGGTCACTCATAATACGGTGACTAGATGTTTTCCTCCCAAAATACCTGTTGACAAAGAGAATTTATGAATGCTAGTACATGATATAAATTTTGTATTTGTTCTTCAGATTAGTTTGCCAAACTCTAGTTTAGAACATCATTTTAGAAAGAGACAAAAGATTATCATCTTACTCTTCCTTTAACATTTAGTTAAACATTTAGCTTTGATAATCACTTTGTTTTCAAAAAGAATCACAAGGACAATTTATGCAAATTCGATTGACTTTTGCTACCATTACTTCCTTCTAGGCTTGTTAATGCTCTGTTTTTTAGCCTTTCATTTTTGGTTATCTAGTAGATTGGTGATTTTTCCATCCTACTTGCATAAGGATTTGCTCATGATAAAATATTTATAGAAATATCTATTTTAGCATTTTAGACAAATGTCTCATGGGCTATGTTGGAACATGCAGAAAGCAGTGGTTTTCAAGCAAAAATGTATGGATGGTGATGTGGTAGACAATTGTTCTCTTAAGGAGTGAAGATCAGTCTTCTAGAAAGCAATATGTGACAGAGTAAATGAAGAGGTATGTAGTCTCAGTGGATTAAATTTAAAGGCCTACTCTGTTTTTGTTGCTGTTGCCATAGCTTCAAATCAATCACATACAAGCTATGCTCTGAATTTAGTATGCGTTTTTTGATGGCTTAGTCGATGTAATTCTGCTTAATTTTTGCTCTTTAGAAATTTTTGTAGTACATTCTTCATAAGTTTTGATGGTTCAACGTGGCTAATTTTACACTTAATATTACCGTAATGTAACATGGTGATGTTTTTTTTCCTGAATCTATTTAGGAAGCAGACATCATCTTGTTGGAAAAAGAGCAACATGGTTCCCTGTCGTTTTTGTGAGAATGTCAATACGAAGAAATTACTGTCACTGTGCAGGCAGGTTTCGCAGATGAAGATGGTTACCAATTATAGTTATTTTGCTCATTAATTTGCACAAGCAATAAACAGGTGCTTTTCAAGTAGCTTTTTTTTTTGGTGCTTTAGCTAAAAAGGATAAGTAGACCTAAGAATTTTTACCAAGAAACTCTTTTAAAATATCTGACATTTGTGAAGACCAATGAAGATGGTAAATCAATAGTAAATGTTACTCAAGGAAGTTTTTCAGGGTACTTCATTCCACTTGACAGAGATACTATGCCACAAGTCTATTCTGCTAAGGTTAGATCAGCATTTTTTCAGCGTAGCCATTGAAATGAAGTTGACAATCAACTCTAACAAATTCAAGGAAGAAGGATACTGCTTGCCGACGTTTATAGAATTGCAGCATTGTTTTGCTGCTTCTTTCTGAAAAAGGTTATCTTTTACTAGTCCATTTTTGTCCTAAATATCTTAGTGTACTAGGAGAAATCAGTCTGCTCAAAAGAAAGTCCTTAGAGGCTAAATCCGTTGATTATTTGTTTTGAATTATAATACATGAATACCAATCATGACTTTTTTCCTTGGGTTGTTATGCCAAACTAGCTAAGATTAGAACCTCACTTTGCAAGCATAGGAAGGATTATCATCTCACTGTTCTTCCGAGTTTTATATAGACATACAGCTTTCATTCTCATGTTCTATTAACATTGACAATATGCAAATTTTATTGCCCTCGCTAATTTTTGAATTCCATTTTTGGTTCATCTAGTAATTATTTGGAATGATCATCTTTCCATTACTAGTTGCTAACAGTGTTCTTTGTTCATTGTCAACTCTATATCCAATATCTGTATCAATATTGAAGACAATCAGTGTCTAATAGGCTTTGTTGGAACATGTAGGAAGCAGCAGCTTTCGAGCTAAAGTGTATGAATGCAGTCTCGATGGATTAAAGGTTTACTTTGTTTCTCTCGAAGTTGGCATGTCTTTCACACACATATGGAAGTGCCAGACCTTTCATGTATTTTGCAGGTTTCTTCTGATCTGATTTGCTTGAGACAGGGGAAAGCATATGAAGGAACCATTTAGCTGGCATGGCTGAGACCTGCAGCCAATTTGGTTGATCTTGGTTCCAGTTTAAGCTGTCTGGATTGCTCTTTGTCAATCTCATGAATATGGATCTCATATCAATGGAAGCATTGAAAGTATGAAGATGAGACGGCAAGAATACTGGTAGCTAGCTGTTGGATTGTAGGCATGTAAAAAGTCTTTACTATACTAAAATTGTCACCTAGATGGCTGGCTAGAATGGATATATATATTACTCTAGCTTGGCCTACAGAGAGATAAGATTTGAGGTTTTAATGTGATCTAGAGCTTTCAGCTTTTGAAATACTTAATTGCCCATGCTTTGGGGAGTTTGATTTAGGTTTCAACCAATCACGAGTTCATAAAAATAGGGCTAAACAAGTTTGAATTTTACGAGACTTGCCTCAAATGACTTCAAAAGCTTGCTGAAAATTCTCCTTCCGCAATTTGTCAAACCAAATCCTGACCGGTCCCTCTTCTGGCTGTCCAAGGCATTTGGTTTTTCTTTAGGTATAATTTCATAAACCTCCCCTGAGGTTTCTAACAATTTTACTAGTCTCTTCTAAAGTTTTCAAAATTACACAAACCTCTCTTGAGATTAAAGTTTTAATAACAAAATTAGTCAATTTAGAAAAAGTAACATTAAAAAAGTACTTTAAGAAGAGAGATGAAACTTTGATTTCATAAATATCCCTTATACATGTATATAAGTTGTAATAATAAAAGAATGAAAATAATTAAAAGTTAGAAACAATTAATACACCTAATTCACCCATCAAAAAGTTTACATTTAATGAATTGTGAGATTTTGGCGGCGAATTTGATGAACAAATTGTTGATAATACCATCCCCAAAATGAGCTTGAATGAGGGGTTCATAAACAGCTCTCAAGTTCCCAGAAGATCTTCTAGGCACTGAATGTTTTATATCAAAACGCTTGCTTCTAGACTCACCATTAACCCGCAGAAGTATTACTTCCAGCTCATGAAGTCCTCTATCAGAAGTATTATTAAACAGCAGATGGAATTTCAGGTATACTTGTCAAGAAAGGAACCTCATCATTGTACCACAACTGAACAGCAAGACATAGCAAGACTGCAGGATTAAAACAACTTTGCCAAAATATTCCAATGGTTAAAGCACACAGATATTAGCACCCGAGATGCTTCCAAGATACTTTCAAACTTGAAAAAAGCACCTGAAATGGTAACCGGGAAACTATTCGTAGCGTACGTTTCCACAAACTCTGGCGTAAATGGTAACCGAGAAACCAAAATTGATCACAAATGCACAATTCCATAAGGTTAGCAATTTCGGGCATGGGGCAGCTACAATTAGCAATAGGTGCGGTTGTTTTACTTTTTTAATGATTTAGTGTACACTTAAATAATTTTGATGTATTTCATGATTTGATGCACATTTATATAACTTTTTATTGTGCTAGTAATAGTTCACGTACTTTGCATGTAATTATATTAAACTAAATATAACATCTCTTTAAACTTTTTGTGAAATTTGATTGTTTACATGATAATAGAATATTTTCTATTTTCTATTTCTTTAATCAATTATTGTTACAAAGACTATCTAAATACGAACTCTTCGATCCATTGATTTTTTAATTTATTTTGAGCTTTCCTTTTATTGAATTTATTTTGAGCTTTTTGGTAATTTATGGATTCAATTTTGATAAACAGTTCTTAATATGGTTATGATGTGTACTCATAATATTTTTACCATTAAATCATAATAATATTTTTTAATATTGTACAAAAGATGTTGTTAAACAAGAAATGCATGTATATATGTCAAGTGTGAGCCCAGTAAATAAAATTCATAATTGCTAGCAAAGTAAAGACTAAAACCATAAAATCAATTTCCGGAAGTGTATCGGAGTAAATAAATTGGCTTGTTAGATTTTGTCATTCTAATTATTTTCACCAAACTCATCCCTTCTTTTACCCCTTGGAAAGTTCATTTACTAGCCAGAATCTAGATGCGCCTTTTTTTCACTTAAAAATAAAACCCATAGTTAAGTTTCTAATGAAATCAACAAATTTAAAAAATGAAAAAAAATTTGTATCAACATTTTGAATGTTATTTGCCATAACATTTTGAATGTTATTTTTTCCTTGGTAAGACAAACAAAATGCAATTGTACAATTAGAATGAATTAATTATATAAGAATAAAATATATGGGCTGTGCTTATGCCCAACTTCGCATGAACATTTAATTATTCTACTTCATATCTTTTTAGCCAAACTTTTCAAGTTTTTCTTTTGTGAATTTGAATTGAAAAATTTGAGGTGCATTATTGAATTTGGATTGTTTACATTTTTTTCTAAGTATTATTGAGGTTAGTAAAGAATGTAAATGATTTATACTGCTTAATTATCTTAAACTGTCTATTTAATTGCCAATGGACATTCAATTGATAGAAATAATTGGATTCTTTTATTTTTTCTTTTCTTTTAGTATTTCTTCATACTGATAAAAAGCCCATAATTATACATCTGTCTTGTGGTATTCATATCAAGATTCTCCAAATGAATATAGACTCTTTTCTTCTTATATATTTCTCTTTTGCTCCAAGAGCATTTTTTTTATACAAATATTTTTTACAAACTTAAAATTGTGGCTAATGCATTCATTCACACTATTTCGAATAAGAAATTATTTTGGCTAAGAAACTTTGACACACATAAGAATTGGAGATGAAGTGTAAGGGTCACTAAATAGTTTTAATAAGGAGTTTTTCATTTTAATTACCATTATTATTGAGATTTAGTTATTTGGAATGTTTCATATTTTAAATTACTACTACAATTAGAATGCAATAATTCTAATTGAAAGATAGAGACAATATGGGCACAATAAAACTAAGATCAAAAAAGTGCATGCAACTTACAATGCCAAGACTTTTTAATATAGTAAAAAATAGATGTTATAAACTACATCAAAATTGCGTGAATGCACATCAAATCATTAAAAAAAAGTAAAACAACCGCACTAATTGCACCTATTGCTAACCATAGCTACCCCAAACCCTGGAATTTCATAGTGACATCTTAAATTGAAGCGGACCACTAAGCAATACAGACCGGAAGGTATGCACCTAATGCAACGCATATCAACTATTAGCAATGTAACAAGGAGATACTTGGATTCTTTGCTTACTATAGATGCTATAATGCTCCAAACACTCAAAAGCTTCTTGATAGATAGGTCAGTGTGTCTTTTACAGGTTTCAAGTAATGTGGTTGCATTAGGTGCCAAATTCCCCTTCCTCCACTATATCTATGTGACCTTTTGTTTCACAAAATAAAAGAGTTATACGAATTTAGAGTTGAGTAGCAGCAATAAATTGCATAATTATACATCGAACTACTAGAAGTCACTGAATTGGTCCCTTATAATGAAATGAAAGAAATCCTTATGTATTTTTTTTTAGGTATGTCCCGCAGGGAGTGGATCCCGCAGACTATTTACCACCCTCATCAACTTGCTGGTAGCAAGGTTCGAATTAGGGACCTGAGGTTCCATTTTCAGCAACCTCAACCACCAGAAATCCTTATGTAATTATTGACATTTTATAAAAAAATTTTAACAATAAACAAAATATGATAAATTCAACATCTTTAGTTCTTTTTCCTATTTCAATCATCAATTTCATTATTTATTTCTCTATCACTATGACTCTCTTCATTTCCTTCTAATTTGACACATAATCTACTCCTTCTGTTGATTTTATATTTTCAATTTGCTAATATCCACAAAATTGAAGATAATAAAAAGAGGTTATATTAACTAAAAAAGAGATGAGTGAAAATAGACAAGAGATAGAAAAATAATTTTTTTTGGATTTTGTAAATTTATCGCCTTAAATTTAAAATTTTCAACCAAGTGGAGGGCATTATAGGTATTTTACTATACCAAGAGAGGTACGTGTAATTTTTTAAACCTGAGGGAGTCGAGTGAATTTGAAATTATTCATAAAAACATAACATGAGCAATGGAAAGAGGGAGTAGAAGTTTCAATAATTCAATGATTATTATCTATTTCAAAAGATAAAAGTTCAATTAATTTGAGATCACAAGCTTGATTATTGAGACGCTAAGGAGACCATTATTGTGCGTCTCTATTTTGAACCAAGAAGCAAAATAGCTAATCTTAAAAAAAGAGATATGTTTCTGTTTAGTAGGCCTATCAACGGGCCGGAATTCATTATTCCAAACTCGAACCCAGCATACCATACCGGATCCGGATCCGGATCTGACCCGTTTACTCGACGGGTCTTCTACTCTATATTCCGGATCCGAATCTGGATCCGACGGATCTCGGATCTGGGTCGGGTCTACCCGAAAAAATCTATCAAAACTTACAATTTCTAATAAAAATAAGAAAAAAATATATTTGTAAACTAATTTCTAACTAACGCAAAAAAAAAAAAATCAAATAAGAAAAGAAATTAAATGGACTTTACTTAAATACATCATCCTAATCAAATTATATTGATAAATATATATTTTTTAAATTATTAATTCATTTATATCCGGATCCGGGTCTAATACGAGTCATAATACTATATTCCGTATCCGACCCTTTTTTTTTGTTTTACAAAACGGATCCGGATCCAGGTCCGGATAACAGAATTAAATCCCTACCCGTACTCGCAATAATTTGACAGATCCGATCCGGATCTGGGTCTAGATCTGGACCGTTGACAGGCCTACTGTTTAGTGATGATAAAATAAATTCAAGTGGGCAAAGTGCAACTTATCCCTAATTACATTGGAGATTAGTGCTAACTGACACTTTACTTTATTTCAATTTGATTGCGAGGAGTCAAAAGCAATTTCTTATCGCTCTTGGATGGATATTATGAACGTGTTTAGATAGTAGATTATTTGGAATAATTTTTTGAAAAAGAGCACGATGATATTCTTTTAAATATAATATATATATAACATAAAAAAATAATTAAAAAATATGTTGATAATATAATTAATAAATTATTTGTGACGAGTGTGAGATATATTCGTGCCCACGCAAACATTCAATCAGAGAACATGAAGGTGCCCGCAACAAAAGCAATTCAAGTGAAAATGCCGACAAGCCACAGCCCTCAAAAGTGGTTTGGAGAAATTTCATGCTTTTGGGTCCCACATATTTTGTCACAATCTTGTGATTATCATTCAGAAACGCATGACCTCCTAATTGGTGATTTTAATTGAGTCAAGTTCATATTACTAACTATGTTTAATTGGTGTGTATTTATATCATTAGCAGTTAGCAATTGTGCAAAATTTTCCCTCTAGTGATTAATCCTTTTTGTTCATTATCTTTTATATATATATATATATATATATATATATAAATTCAATAGGACGATTTCGCACTATTGAGTTTCTGGAGAAATTTCTAATTTTGTGATGAATTTTAAAAAAATTCTACAAAAGAGGTAATTTTGGTAATGAATTCCGTCCGGGGGTCTTTGCATTCGTAAAATGCGAGTTCAGTAGAACTCGCATTTCACGAATGCGAGGTTAGAATAGAGCTCGTATTCTCGAAATGCGAGCTCTACTTATTGAGCTCGCATTCCGCAAATGCGAGCTCTAATTTAATTTTTTTTACTAGCTCCCCCAGAGCTCTCTAGCAGCCTCTATATTCGTAAAAAAAGAAAGGAGCTCCTGGGTCAGAGAATGAATTCCACTTCCCTGATTAGCACCAATCGTCATGAACTGGAAAGGCTAGCTCAGAAGATGGCTAGGCCCCTGTTAGCACCAAAAGCGTTAGGGGGCCCGCACTGGAGGCATCAGAGACTTCAATGTTAGTTTTCTTGAACTGCAAATCTTCCAAAAAGGAAAAAAATTACACTTGACTCTATTTCTTTCAGAAATAGCGGGCAGGCAAAGCAAAGAAACGAAGCTGACTCTCATGAATGGATGTCCGAGCTAGAGAATTTTTTCCAGAAAATAGTAAGAGCTAAATGCGAGCTCCTAAATGTTTTTTTTTTTAAATTTTGCAAATAGCTCGCATTTGATAAATTTGTCCTCCAAAAATTGTATTTAACTTTTTTGTTAGATTTCGCATTTATAAGTATGACTTTCAGAAAATTAAATTCAAACTTGTTAGGAAAAAAATTTAAAATGAAATTTACGAAATTTCAAATGAAATTCAAACTTAATATAATTTACTATACATGCATAATTCTTTTATAATAAAAAAAATTGGTAATTGTACGATTGAAAATACATTATTTTATTATAATACATTTAAATGGGGGAAAAAGTACACATGCATAGTTCTATTTGTTACTTTTTATTATTATTATTATTATTATTTTGCTTGCAGGTGCTTATTGTAGCAGGAACTAGTACCACATCAAGGGCGTTGAGCTGGGTTATCTCCCTGCTACTGAACCATAGGCACGTTTTGCAAAAAGCCCAGGAAGAGATTGATTTTTTTGTTGGTAAAGAGAGATGGGTAGAAGAATCTGATATCAAGAATTTAGTCTACCTACAGGTCAAAGAGACAATGCGACTACATCCACCAGCACCTGTACCTATGCCACGCCAAGCCGACGAAGACTGTAACGTAGCCTTGTCTTGGCGCTCACCCAACTCTCAGTGAGCTCGCATTCCGCGAATGCGCGCTCACGAGCTCGCATTTCCGGAATGCGAAGAACCCTATTTGCAGAACACACTCCAAGAACCGTCCTCGTTGTAGAATTCTTTTTTTTTTTTCATCATAAACTAAGAATTCTCCCTGAGTTTCTGGGGTTTTGTGTGGGGGGAGGGGGGTAACAAAATGCAATACAAATTACCAAAATTTCATTGAGAAATCATCATTATATTTGAGTATACATGCAAAATTGATGGGAATTAAAATAATACTCCCTCCACTTCAAATTATTTGTCTCATTTCAGGATTCAAATTTTTTAAAGAATAATAAGTAACTTGACGATGATGTTAGTGGATTTGTTTCTAAAATTATTCTCGAAAATTCAAAATTTTAAATTTGGATTTAGTGCCAAATATTGATTAATGTGAAAATTATTGAAAGAAAGAGATTAAAAGTAAATTTGAGTTTAATAAAATAATAAATATTTTAAGACATTTAAAAAGTAAATCGGGAAGGAGTAAACAAAAATAAAATGAATAAAAGAGAAACTACAAGATGATGAGTTAGTTAGACGTTAAGCCAATAAGAAAGGGATGATGAGTTTTAGCTGCAAGCAATGTTTTTAAACTCGGACCGGTCAGCGAATCGGAGAGGGTCCGGTTCGCGGTCTGACCGGTCCGACCGGCCGGTTCACCGATTTTCTGGTTTATTATTATTATTATTTTTTTTTTACAATTTGAGTGTTAAGTATTTCACAGGTTTTCATTCTACACTTGAACTTGACACCTAATGTACAATTTAACATGGTTAGTGATAACTTAAGTTTTTAAAATGCATTCACCAACATAACTAAATTTAAGTTGAGATAATAACAAATTTCCTAAAAGTTATACATAAAACCTGGAATGATAAACATAATTAAAATATCATAATTCACCACAAGTTTTTATAAATTCATTACAAACATGAATAGATATAATCCAAATGTTCACCAATTATCACAAATAAAAACACAAAAAAAATAAAATAAATATTGAAATTCTTTTACAATTCTTAAAAAAGTCTATAAAAAAGTCTAACTCATATTCAAGACAAACCATTTGAATAACAAACTTCCATCAATGGCATGATAAGCAGCAAAACAACCTTCACAATTTCATCAACTTAACCTGAAAAAATTAAAATTTTATTATAAAAATATAAATCTAATTGCTCAAACTAAAAAAAAATAAAAATTTTTAAAAAACAAAGATACAACTAAACACATAAAAAATTAATTGCTACTAAACATGTGGTCCTGAGGTTACCATTTAGGAATTTACCAAGACATACAAACATGTGGTCCAATTTGGCACTTTTTTTTTTAAAGCTTTTGTTTGACAACTTTCACAAATCAACTTTAACATGTCTTTGATTTTGTTGCTTTAGTGAAACCTATAAAATTCAAGATGAATGAGCATTCAGTAGACTAATTACTTTAGCATAGAAAAAGCAATAAAAACACAATAAATAGCATAGAAAAAACAGAACAATCATTGATACAAAATTTATTAATTTGATATTTCATCCATGTCTAATTTCTTTAATTTGATACTTCATCCAAAAAAATAGCTTCTCCAAATATGATTGCAAATTAATTAATGATTCATAATTTCATCCTTAATTAATCAAATAAAAATAAAACAAAAATAAGGGAAAACAGATGAAAATTGGGGAAAAAAAGAAGAAAATGCAAAAAAAATCGGCTAAAGATAATAATATAGAAAACAAAAACCTTGAAAAAGGAAAAATTAAACTTACCAAGATGATGGAAAACAAGAAAAACTCTTGAGTCTCAAATATCTTGTGAAAGTTGAAATTTCCAACTTGTCTACAATCTGCAAAAGATGATAGTGATAAAGGTGAAGGCTTGAGAAAATTTTGTTGTGGATATTTGGGTTTGAAAGGATTAAGAAGAAAAAATTGGAAAAAAATTCAAGAGGAGAACTGGAGCCATTGGCCGCCTGAAGCCGAGAAAGTGATAGATTGAAACTTGAAAGAAAAGTGCGCCGGCTGTTTCTTTTTTTAATGTTAGGATTTGATTTTTTTTATTCCCTATTTTAGTCAAGTTAAGTAGAATTCTCAACAAAATAAGCTGTGGTCTAGTGGTGAAGAGTGCCTTATGGGAACAAAGAGACCGAGGTTCTCTACATTCTTGACATTTTGTTTGAAAATGTCAAGAAAATTAGAAAACCGCCGAGTTACGGTTCGTGCGATTTTTAACGGTTCATACGATTCGACCGATTTCTAGCGATTTTTCATTAACTTTCGGGTTTAATACTGGACCGGACAGGCCGATTTGACCGGTCGGACCGGTCAACAAGGTGTGGCTACGATCGGCCTGTCCGGTCGGACCGGTCAACAAGGTGTGGCTACGAATTGTCGGCAACTTCCAGGAAGTCTTTAGAGTGTAGCTTTGCAAAAAGTGGAAAAATTTGGAAGCGCAAAAAGTTGTGCGGAAAAATGTCTGGAAAGGAGTTTTTTATCCAAGTTTTTTAACTATTAATTTTTTAACATCTTAATTACAAGAATTCAAAAATATTTATCAATTTTTTTATCCTACGTATTTCAAAATGTCTAATACACAAAAAACATCATTTTTTCTTTTCTTTCTCCCCCATTCCGATCCACCGCACCTTCATCGCTGGCCATCACCTCCCCATCGGTTCCGGCGCCAATCACCTATTCCGGCACCAGCCTTCCTTTTTTTTTTCTCCCTTTCTCCCTCTCCCTCTCCCCCTCCCCCTTTGACCGATCTGCAACTTCTGCACCTCTCTTCAAGAGATAGGATTCCGGTTTCTGCATCTTTCTTTCTCCCATCTTTCTTACCAACGTTCGGCCTCAACCCACCTCGCCTATGCTTATTCCGCTTACCCCACCTCAGAAACACCATAGCTTCCCTCAAGGGCTGGAAGGCGTCCCCCCAAGCGTGGCAAACCAGCGACGCACCCCGTAAATTGGACAGCGAGAAAGACGCGGCGATTTTCTGCACTAATTCAAAAGGGGCCAAAGAGTAATCATACTGCTGATGCTTAAGGTTGTTGGGGACATGGGTTTTCGACGAGGAAGAGGTAGAATTCCTCGTGGGCCCTGAGGTACTGGATTTGGAGGAAGAGTGGTGGTGGTTGTGGCGGGTGATCGGATTCTTTTCTGGTAAAGGGCAGCGCGGTAAAGTGGGGAGTGTCTGATTTGGAAGGCCATGTTTTCTGCTTCATTGGTAGTGGTGAACGGCGGAAGGGGATGCAGCAGCCGGCTACGTAAAGTCCGAGGGAAAGAAAAAGAAGGAGAAAAAGAAAAAAAAAGTTTTTCGTTTTAAAAATTTTTTCAAAAACTTTTACAGCAGTGCATTATAATAAAATATTAGACAAACTTTAAAAAAAAAACTCACGGCTCCCGCAAGTTTTAGCCTCCACACATTTTGCTGCCCTTAGTTGCCAAAGTTGAACCATATCCTTCCTTGTCTGATCGCAGAAAGCATCCCCCCAACACCATCATCGATATCACAACACTTTCATCCTAATCCCAATCCCAAGCGAGAAAAAATGGCTGATGCTGCTGTTAGTGCTACTATTAAGGTTGCATTGCAGGCGGTTGTTTCTCTTGCCGCTGATCATCGTGAATTCCCAGAGGAGCTGGAGAGACTCGACAAATCTGCTGCAATGATTCGAGGCTTCTTGGCTGGTGCCGACGAGGACAAGCATAGCTCAGACGTGAAAAATTGGCTCAAGCAGCTGGAAGAAGAGGTTTTCAAAGCTGACAATGTGCTGGACGAGCTCAACTATGACAATCTTCGTCGGAAGGTGAAGTATCAAAATCAACTCACGAAAAAGAAGGTATTCTTCTGCTTTTCATTCTTTAATAAAATTGGTTTTCGTTGGAGGTTGGGTTCAATGATCAGGGAGATCAACACGAACCTTCAAAGGATCCGTCGGGATGCAGAAGGTTTGGGACTGGCCTACAAGCACCAAGTTGAAGAAGCATTCCCTACTATTGCTGCTGGAGCCACAACAAGCCGACAGACCGACTCTACTATTGTTCGAAGAGATGTTCTAGGAAGAGACGAGGATGAATCAGAAATAGTTAAGAAGTTGTTGACCGAATCTGAAAGTGTTATTTCAGTTATTCCCATAACTGGCATGGGTGGTTTAGGAAAAACAACTCTAGCAAAAGCCGTTTACAAAAATGAACAAATTGTTGGACAATTTGACAAAAAAATGTGGGTTTGTGTGGCTGAAGAAGTAGATAAAATCGAGAAGGTCTTCAAAATGATTCTTGAATCGTTAACAGGAGGAAAGGTTGAAGGGGATCGTAGGGAGGTAATAGTTCAAAAAATTCAGCATGAACTCAAGGAAAAAAGATATTTCCTTGTTCTTGATGATTTGTGGAATGATCAAGAAGTATTGTTGAATGACTTTTTCAGCACTTTGGCGGGACTGAATGCGAAGAAAGGGAGCTGGTGTCTTGTTACCACTCGTCTGCAAGAAGTGGCAACTATTCTGTCTAGACATCCGCAGATCAATTTTACTCGCCATGAGCTGGGAAAGCTATGCGATAATGATTGCTGGTCTATCATGAAAAAATGGGCAAATGTAGGGGAAGAATTACCAAAAGAATTGGAAGACATGAGGGAGCAAGTTTTAAGAAGATGTGACGGTCTACCTCTGGCAGCAACGTTAATTGGAGGTTTGTTATCTAAAAAGAGAAAAGAGGATTGGCTATCTATTTTGGAGGAGAGTCTCTTGAATGGCAATCAAGGTGGGATCAAGCAAATACTTAAGGTGAGTTTTGATCATCTGTCACCTGCACCGGTTAAGAAATGCTTTGCATATTGCTCAATTTTTGATCAAGATACTGAATTGGAACAAGATCGACTAGTTGAGCTTTGGATGGCTGAAGGCTTTCTTCAACCGGATCCCCAAAATGAAAGAATGATGGAGAAAATAGGATGTGAGTATTTGAGAATTTTGCT